GGAATAAAGCACTGAGTTGTCCTAAATAAACATCGCTGAGTCCTAGTGACCCATCAGTGTCTCACATGCATGGGAATCACACTTGACGACATGTAACAGAAGAGGCAAAATAATAATGGCCCTGACACAGTTAACTGCTGGATAGGAGGTTTCTGTTGTTAAAACCACATGGTCTTACACTATGGGAAATCTCTCTTTTTTCAGTGAGAGGGCACAAATTTTGTGCAGCCACCTTGGTTCTGGTAGGAAATTCCTAGCTTGGTGCCCTATGCAGGTGCTTGGGAGTCAATAGAGTGATTGGCTAATGAAAATTAACAAGAATCTGGAAGTCTTCCAGGCTCCCTCACAGGAGACACTAGGGAAAGAAGTGTGTTGTGGGCTCCTGGCTGCAAATGGTGGCTGCCTTTAAATGCAGATGGTGAAACAGGATGCTTGATGTGCATCAGGGGTGTCTCCTCACCCTCCTCCTCCCTGTGCAGCATCACTGTGTCACTGGAGAGGGAATGGCAGAGCTGGGGTCTTGCATCCTGGGTCAAATAATGCAGACAGAGCTTGAGCGGAAGACAGGGAGGACATGGAATGCTTGCTTGGTCTGTTGTGTAGATGAGAGGATGGGAGAGACTCATTGAGTGGTCCAGGAAGTGCCAAGGCCCTGAGGCAGGAGCATGCTCAACAAATCAAAGAGGCAGGAAGGAGGTCAAGGACCAAGTTTCTGCTCTACAACACCACTCTTAGCAGCTGTCCGGTCAGAGCCTCCATGTTCCGGTGAGAAGCAATTACAGATGCAATTGGTCACAGTTTGCCCTCTATGTGGTTAGCACTCTGCTGTACTCTGTAAACTCAGTGTGGGGTGCCGGAGGTGGAAGGTCAGCTGTAAGCAGAAAGCAGGAGCCATTCCATTTGGGAGTTCTCTTGGAGGTGGGTCTGTTTTATGGCTGAGGGCAGGCCACAGATGAACTGGTCTTAAAGCACACTTGTGGTACCTGAATCCCAGATGCATGTTGAGGGCCAGGGGACCTCAAGTTTTCAGTGAAATCCTGGGGACCAGCTTTCTCTGCTCTGTTGCTTAATAAAGGGCTTGGTTACCTTAGTGACCCTGCCCTGCTGCAGAGACTGTGGGA